TACTCTAGTTTTGTCCCACGCAGAGAAAGACAAAGACAGAGACAGCGCTGCACGAAGAAAGGTCACATCGTTCTCAGGGCGTGAGAGCCCTTGAGCAGATTTCGTCAGGATGTATTGGTTGAGGCGATGCAGGCGGATATGCTTCCAGGTTTTAAGGAGCAGCTGGTTCCTTTTAGCTTAAGCTGCCTGAGTTGACTCCTGAAATTCGTCTGCTCAAACGTCTACCTGAGCAGTTTTTTGGTGTTTGAACCAAGTATACGATGTTTATTATGAAGGACTCAAAACTATTCTCAAAGTGCGCATATAATCTTACTCGCTAGTGGAGACTACAGTACCCCGGCCCCAAAGAGACTACTCAACTGGGAGGTTCCAACTCCAGAACAAAGCAGGCACAGCTGTGACTTTAAGTGAGCGATGCACTCTGGTCCGATAGCTCCTGCTTCTCCACAGCTCTTCGAATGCCCCGGTGCTTGATTCCCTCGTTCCTACGAAGCACCATGCAAGACCCCTAGCGGGATCAGAATGCTATCTGCTTCTGGAGATGGGGCATGAAACAAAGACAGTTTCAGGAAGCAGTTTGCCGTTTGAGCCTTGCCTCAACAAAAAAAACTGTTCGCTATGAGCTCGGTGAGGTTCAGGCTCAGGGCATACACACAAAGTAGCATGGTCGAGGTTTAGGGTTTGCGGTACTGTGAGGCAGTAAGCACAGGAGAACAATGATGACCGACATCTTGGAAGTTCCGACATGTTGTGATATTATTGCACAGCAAAAAGTTGAACATCTCAACAGCCTACAAGCCACAACCTACAAGCGACCCTGCCCCAAACTAACACACAACTCCATTGGCCAGGAGCCCTGCAACCCCTACGCCATCAGCCCCTAAACCCACGACGTAGAAACCTGAAGGACTAGGAAACACAGTATGACAAAACGCAAAACGCTTTGTAAGGCCCTGACAATTCTGAACTCAAAGCCCGAACAGTCAACCTGCAGATCCTGCACCCAAGGAAATTGTGAGCCCTGCACACGCTACAGACCCTAGAGATAAACCGCAAAAACCCAAAAATCCCCAACCTTAATAGTGCACCTTACAAACCCGAATAAACCCTATACACTGGGAGGCGCACCCACTTGCAAGTCCAACTCGGCCTTCGAACGCTGCTCCGCGCCCTGAGAAGCTTAACAGACCCTAGCGCTAACGGTCCAGGTAACTAAACAGGATGCAATATGGGGCCAAGCTGTTTCCTACGTAGATACTTTGGGCCCAAATAGTGGTCATTCTATTTTGGCACTTGGATCCCCAAGGGTAAGGGCACATATCGGGCAGCCTGCTCCCTTTAGGGTTTTAGCTCTCACGAAGGCCTCTCAGGAGTCGGACACACAACACCTCTGCCTGTTCTCAATGTCGGGCATTTGGATAAATACGCGCAGCTGAAAGCTGGAACTTTGCCCTGATGATGAAGGCTGGAACCCTACAAAACGAAGCCCCCCAAAACCTGAAACCGCCAAAACCTTTCAACCCCAACTTTCGGCAGGCACGTTTTAAATGGCTTGTGCATTACAACCACAAAGAGCTTGATGAACAGCTGGATTTGCATTGGGCCAGGCGTCACTCTCATGACCAGTACTCCAATTAGAGAAAAACCTAAGTCTGGAAATTGGAGTGCAAACAAGTACTGGTCTCTGGCTCACAGGCTCCAGCCATGAAACCTGAAAGCAGCATTTCCCCAAATTGCCACCCCTAAAGTAATCCAGTTTGGCTGCAGAGAGTTAAAGACCTCAACTTCTAAGCCATCAATCCATGCGCAGCCATAATGCTCCAAAAAATGTTTGCTGCGGGGCCGAATGAATGACTAATTGAGGCGCCGGCCCATACCAATACGGGGAAACTCGAACCATAAAACATGGTGGATACTACATTGTAACTTCTTCAGGGTAGTAAGTTGAGGAATCTCGCTACTTTTCCGCAGCACGCAAGACTCCAAAGTGACGCAAGAGCGCTACAACTATGACGCCAGGCCGAGACGGTAGCTTCCTTGTTTAGGGCCAGGGTCTTTGTCTGGGTTTTGGCATTTACGGTCTAGGGTTTGGGGTGTAGGGTCCAGGGTTTGGGTGTAGGGTTTGCGGTTCAGGATATGAACGCGGGGCCTGGGACGCTTCCTTTTTGCTGGACCTCCCTCACCCCCTCAATAACAAATATAATCCAACATGGTACCAGCGTAT